GTTCCTATCTATTAAAAACATTCAAACTAAGTAGTGTTCCTATCTGTTAAAAACATTCAAACTGAGTAGTGTTCCTATCTATTAAAAACATTCAAACTAAGTAGTGTTCCTATCTGTTAAAAACATTCAAACTGAGTAGTGTTCCTATCTATTAAAAACATTCAAAGTAGTGTTCCTATCTGTTAAAAAACAAACTAAGTAGTGTTTCTATCTGTTAAAACTAAGCAATATTCCTATTTGTTAAACAACATTCAAACTAAGTAGTGTTCCTATCTGTTAAAACTAAGCAATATTCCTATTTGTTAGACAACATTCAAACTAAGCAGTGTTTCTATCTGTCAAAAAACATTCATATAAGTAGTGTTCCTATCTGTTAAAACTAAGCAATGTTCCTATTTGTTAAACAATGTTCAAACTAAGCAGTGTTCTGATATGTTAAACAAGAAGGTGTTTAAATTTAGGTTTCAGATCAAGAAGTGATGCAATCATATTACAGTTATTCAAGATAAGTTAGCTAAATGTACCAAACATAAAGTGACTAACCTTATACTCAAAGAATATTTGTTATAACAATATCTAAAAACCAATTAGGCAAGGATGTAAACAATAAAACAATCTCAATACTAAAACATTTTTTTGAATATTTGCCCGTGAGATATTTAACCTCCAAGATCAATACCACAATCTGGTAACATCTGAAAATCATACACAAATCCTGGCATTTGTATTTGGTGAGTTATATAGATAATGAAATGATATTAAAGGGAAAAAACAGCTTAGGGAGTATACAAGTATTTTGATTTTTACAATTACAAGAATAAAACACAAATCATAGCTATTGAAGTATCTTCTACCTTCTACAGTTAGTGTTTTGTTGCAACAAATGGATGTGTGACAGATATATCAGTTTGATTTAGCCATATTTTAAGTTTGATTACAGAACTCAGCCCTATGGTACAAAATATAAAAACAATGCTTCTAATGTTTTTAATATTTTAAAAAACAGACTACTTTAATGTTTCTATACAGCATATTATTACCATTATAAAATTATGGAATAAACCTCGATTACTTGGGTAAATTAATCTCAAAAACATTAATATAAATTTAAAACAATAAAATCATTATTTGGTCATAAGAGGAACTTTAGAATTAGGTGATCTTATGAACTTGCTATGGATAGGAAACTACTTTTCTTTTGATAATGTTTTGGTCTTTACGCTGCACAGAAGCTGAAATGTTTTCAAAATTAAGGTTTCCAATTATTTCAAGTAATCAAAATATTGTCACGAAACTCATTTGTTTGTTATGGCAAAGCTACTAGGACAATCTGCCACTGTCATTAACTTAGAACTGCTGACTACAGAGAAGGCAAATGCATGGCAGTATCCACTTCCAAACTTTCATTTTTGTTTGTACATATGATATGGTTTTAGAAATACGGTACTAATAAATCAACTGAATGTTACTGATTAATGGTCTGTCAGTTGATCGATAAGCAGATACCACTAACTGTCCAAAACACTACCTAAATCTATACTAAAAGAATTGAGTAACTTTCCAAAAATTAGATGTAACTGAAAAATTGTTGAAAATATTATCAGGAACTATTTTTAATGTATGTGTAATTTTTTAGATAAGAAGTATATTATAAAG